ATGGAATTTCAAAGGGAGTCAGCTGCAATGCTTGATCTTGAGTGAATGTTTAGAGAGAAGTCAGATCCTGGCTCTTATATAGATTTAATACACATATAGCAAAAGTAACAATAAAACATTGATGACATAGTATGACCTTTGAACTTGTAGCTTTAATGGATAATTTCAAGTAACCTATAATGACCAGAATGATAATGTTGTAAATGTATAGTGAATTGAAATTGTGTTTATTTTGTAAACAGGAGAAACGACGTATTGCTATAAACAATGCTGCTCGACAGTGGGAAGTGCATCAAGGTACAGCCATGGCTAAGACTACACGGTTACAACCTGGTCCTTTATTATCAACCAGTCATAGTATCAACACTAGTAGTATATCAACGGTAGATATGGAAGATACTAGACCAGATACTGCGTAAGTTTATACCATATGGTCTGTGAAGAGGATGAACTGCAAGTACATGTACATTGTCTAGATAATACAATTATAATTCATCCCTGTATGTTTGCTGTCTGTCACATGATGACATCAGTGTCTATCCTACATTTTACTATATATGATGAGAGTTGATTCAGTGCACATTGAAATAAAGAATCACTAGCAGTGTATGTGCTTTCACCTGCGTCATGCTTCACCCACTGATTGTTGTGTTAATTGTGGTGTACCTCAACATTGAAGATTAGCTTTTTTGATGCAATTGTGATCTTATGAACTGTATAATGTACATTCTACTACAGGCTGGATGAGATGTTATTAGGTTCACTTTCAAAATAACTTTCATAACTCTTACCTTTCATTTCATCTTCATCTAGTATCTGACTTCTCGTGGTATCTCTTATGATCTTATTTGCTGCCTTCACTAAACCCTGCCTCATTGCTCAATTCCTGCCGCCCATTCTCTTTTATACTTGATATGATTTTATTGTTTCCAATGCTAGGATTAATCCATTCTTAATGAAAACAGGGGAGAAAGCTGCAACTGTCAAAGCATGGAGTGACAATACTGCTGGCATGATTGTTGCAAAAGCTAATTCCATTGAGAGGTATTAAACCCATGCACCTGAAACCCAAACCATTGCACCCATTGCTTTGTGTTGCTGTGCACTTTCACCAAAAAAAATACACAACTGTAATAAACTAAACTGTTGTTTTAGGAGCTTTATTTCTTTCACTGCTGTTAAGATACTACACAGGTGAGAGTGTGTGATTGGCCTGACCCTTTCATTCATTTCATTGCGTGACTATATTGGCCTCTTTTATCCTTTCCTGTTTCTTATTTGTACTTCAGCATGTTTCTAAACACAAATGGTTCCATGTTGGTTGCATTGCATGTGTTGTCCTGTTTGGCATCTTGATCCCAATTTGCACTGTGTTTAACAACAACATTGGTTTTGTGTTTGCACTAATGTTAAATGTATCTGTGGATTGAACTATCGCTGTGCATATCCTATCCCCTTTCATGTAAATGGACTTGAACTTCAGATTGTGTAAAGTTAAGTATATCTGAGTGTGCGGTATCAGCATGTCAAGATTTGATTTTCCTGTCTGTTAGTACAGTATATGGCAGAACAATATAGCCAGCCATATATGTTTCCCTGGCATTATGCAGTAGTATAGGTTTTGCACTGGTTGACAGTTGACATTAGCTTGTCAATCTGGCTCTACTAAATATGCTACATAGTGGATAATATTTGGTAATCATTGTATTAATTTTTCAAAATAGCTAATTTTTATCCAGTTCCAATTCATGTTAATTCTAGGGGGCATAACATTTTACAGATTTGTCTATTTCTGGCGTGTGTTTGTGTTGTCAATGACAATGAGAATCAACTCAGGTGCATCAAGAAGAAACTATATTCCATTTTGAAGTAAAGAACCATAGAGAATAGATCATTTTTCATTCATTGTGAGATCTTGCATATTGTGTGAAAGATGCGGATTGTTCAACTTATTCCTATTGCTTACTTCCTTGTGCACATAAACATGTTTATTGTGGAATCTGTTAGTAAATCCATTGTATAGTTGTTGTGCATGTTCTTATATTCTACCTATACATGTACGTTTAAACTTTTTCTTCTATCCCATCAATGAAGAGCCATTCCTTGAAATGTCTAGTTACTGAGGACAACAATTACCAAATATTATCTACTGGATATCATATTTATCAGCATTTATTTATTTACTTCTTTTATCTGTACTAAACATGTCTATTTCTGAAGTTCAGTCATGGTATTCCACAAGCCCTGTGGATGAGGTATACAGCCACTACAAATCAAGATTATGCAACTCAGAATGAGACATAACTTCTTATATGCTACAAATGTATGTATTCTTGATAGATGCTATCTCTCCATGTAATTGGCAATTGTCTATCTCTCATTTTAGATCAAGTCATAGAGGTTCACGGTCAGACAGTGTGGTAGATCTCATAGACCCTCGAGATAAATCTCAAACTCAGAGTATATTATTCTCTGACACAAGATCAAAAAGTATGAAACCAGACCTTTTAGCAAAGTAAGTTTTTTACACAGAAAACTATTCTAAGTACTTTGAATGTGTAAAAGAGCTAAATTATATGGTCATTATTTATTTGTACTGTAAATCAATGATAACTTTTGAACATTACACAGCATCAAATTTTGTTTGTTTGAGTACTCATCTATGCTATACATGCTTGGATTATCTATTGATCAGTCTTGGCAATATTGATTTTTGCTTTGCTATGGTATCTACCCCTGCTTGCTGCTAAAATTGATGAACTAGCTGTTCAAAGTGTTGTTAACAAAATCCCAAGAACATATTCCCACTCCTTTTGTGAAAGACAAAGGAATGTCTTCCCAGTCAATCAACTTTAGAAATGAAAATAACAATGCACCAAACGGGGAAAAAGTTGACGTGCTGAAAAGAGATTTTGAGAAGCATAGCCATATGTTCTAATCAACTGAACAGACATGGTAATAATTATTTTAAATTATTTAAATATTATTGTTGTTTTTGGTAAAAAATACTACCAGCTAAATTGCTTTGATACTTGATATGTACCTTGAGTGGACCGCTGTTAGATTGGTTTATTTTTGGTGATCCGCTCCGCAAGCATTGCCCTTATAATCACTTTTGTGGGTTTATGTGTGTGTGTGTGTGTGTGTGTGTGTGTGTGATTTCCAGTGTTTTCACCTATTATTTCTTCTGTGATTTTTTTCGCTTGGCTGATTTCACTCAAACTTGGTAGGCCAAATCTCACCCTAGTTATTAGGAAAAATTTGGCCCACCATTGCCATAGCAAAAAACTGTTTTTTTGGACAGCAAAAAACTTGTTCAAGATAT